GAAGTGATATAACTATATTTAAAAACTTCTTAATTAAGACATGGGAAAATAAAAGTAAAATAAAAATAACGGGAGTTACAGGAGAAGAAACCCAGATAATAAATAGTGCTGATAAGATTATTATAATACTTGGAAGTAAGCAAATAATAATTAATAAGATATATAGTTATGATAAGTTGGAATGTGATATATTATTAGGAAATGACTTTATACAACAGTTCCAATATTATAACCAAAACAATTATATGATTATGTTACAAACCCCTTGTGGACATTTATTAAAAATTTCAAGAGAATTTAGACCTTATAGAGTTCAATCAGCCTAGCGTGGTGATAGGTGGGAGAAAAAATCAATTGTGCAAAATGAGATAAAAAAATAAAAGAATATTATACAAAAAAAATCCTAAAAACAGGAATATAAAAAATTATAGAACAATTAGAAAAAGTTTATGGATAAAATCCATTGTTATTTTGGAAACCATACCTTCCTAGAGCAAAAATAGAATTAACAGAAAATGTTATTATAAGAGTTAGACCAATGATATATACCATACAAGATACACAATAATTCAAAATCCAAATAAAAGAATTGTTAGAACAAAAACTTATTAGACCGGTAATGGACCACATAGTAGTCCAACATTTATGGTAACGAAACATTCCGAGCAAGTTAGATGAAAAGCCAGAATAGTAATAAACTATAAAGAATTTAATAAGTATACTAGGTTTGGTGGACACTTTTTACCAAACAAATAAGTCCTAATAAACCTTGTAAAAGGAANAAGTATACTAGGTTTGGTGGACACTTTTTACCAAACAAAGAAGTCCTAATAAACCTTGTAAAAGGAAAATAATATTATTCTAAATTTGATTGTAAATTAGGATTTTGGTAAATAAAAATGGAAGAAGATAGTATACAATATACATCATTTAGTACGCCTCAAGGCAAATATGAATGATTAGTAATGTCTTTGATTAAAAAATGCACTTCAAATATATCAAAGAAAATGGATAATACATTCAGAAAATTTAATGAATTTTTGATAGTATATATTGATGATATATTAATATATTCTAATAACAAGGAAGAACATAAAAATCATTTAATTATAAATGAATGAATTGTTCTTTGCAGAAAGAAAGCTATTATAGAAAAATAAGAGATTGATTTTCTTGGATTAACAATAGATAAAAAATGAATAAAATTACAAACTTATATATCTAAAAAGGTAGATAGTTTTCCAAATAAANTGACAATCTTTCAAAAAAGAGACATAAAATCCAAATTTTACTCAGAAAAACAAATACCAAAGTATGGAGTGAAGAACATACAGAAATTGTTAAATTATTAAAAGAAAAATGTAAAAATCTACCACAATTAAAATTACCAGATGAAATAGACAATTTAGTTGTCAATACTGATGCCTCAGATAAATATTGGGCAGCAATATTAAAAACTGATTTAAATGAGATTTGCAGATATTCAAGTGGAACTTTTAACCAAGCAGAAATAAATTATACTACTCACGAAAAAGAATTATTAGCAATTATCAGAGGAATAAAAAAGTTTTCATTATTTTTATTAACTAAAAAAATTATTATTGAAACTGATAATTCCCAAATTGCAGGACTTGTTAGAAATAAGTTACAAATGGAGCCTCAAAATAAAAGGTTACACAGATGATAAGCATACTTATCTTTTTATAATTTCGAGATTATTCATATTAAAGGTGTAAACAATTATCTTGCAGATTTCCTAAGTAGGAATATTGAATTTGGAGATGGATGATAGCAAAAATTCATTGATAGACATCAAAAGGCGAATGGAATTTCTTGTTAAGGAATTAGAAGATATAAAAATTGGAATGGAGCAATTAGCAGAAACTCTCCAACAGAATGTCAAATCGTTGGTAGAAATCTCTAATTCTCATTCCAAATATGCCAATAAATTGAATGACAGACTTGATGATATTACTTCACAATTCGAGTCGTTGAATACCAAATAGGGAATACAAACATGTACACCAAGCGCAAGCAGCAGTGGACCAAGCCAAATAAAAAGAGATATGATCATGCCAAGTCCCTGAAAGGTGACAATAAAGAATGAGGATGAACATACAAAGGTGATTAGAATTAGAACTGATGAAAATGATGATCCCCCTTTATCATCAAAAGAAGAAGAATATAAATCTTTTGCCAAGATTGTCTATGAATTGGGAGAAAATGATTCCTATTTCATCTCATCAAGGGATCATGTTTACCCAAGATTGATAATTACCAAAGATGCAGACCCTTTGACATTAAAAATGGCAGCAGATTATGGATTCTTGGATCTAATCTATCCAGGGAAAGATTTAAAAGAAATTGAAAATTTTGATGATATATTCAAATCAGAAGTCTCAAAATTTGCCCAAGGAAGATTTGTATATATAAAATTTTATTCAATTAGTCCAGAGGTTGATGGAATGATATACTATCCTGCAGAACATATTATCACAATTGGATATGCAGGCTGAGATTTCCAAATTGAAGTCGGTCAGAATACCAAGCCATTACCAAAAATTACAAAATCATGGATCAAATCCTGAAGAATTTTGGGGATGAAGGTCCTTTACAATATGGCAAGAAACGTATATGAAAATAAGTTCAAATGCCTATACCAATATGAATGATGGACCTTCTTAACAAATAATGGAAAAGAAAAATCTACAATTCTGAAGGAATACATCTAAAAATTTGATACCCATCAAATTAATGAAAGTGCTATAACGATTCAGGAGGTATGCAGATTAAGGAAATGCCCTACATGCCGACAGAATTGAAAGAAAAATGATGCTAAGAAGATAGAGTTGGGAGGTCCTACCACTGCCGAGGAATCTTGCCAACTGCATACCAATAAGATAATAATGGAAGAATAGTGCCCTTGATAAAGAAGATGTGATATAAAGTTAATTGTCTTATACAATAATGGAACCACGATAATGTAGTGGTTAGACTTTTATAAAAATAAAACTCTATAATTAGTATGGTGTAAGAGGCAAAATAATTAAGTATCATGTGATTGTATAAATAGAGGCCTTCGGGCTCATGTAGGACAAAAGAAGTCCAGGAAGTTTTTGAGCACTCAGATTGTAAGAAAGCCTAGATTTTCTGTCTTTTCATTCTGATCATATATCAATAATATTCGAATTCTTTGAGAAAAATATGAGTTTCTAAACAACTTATCTAATTGATTCTTGAAAGATTAAGGAAAATATTTCTTTCTTACTTTAACAAAATGATCAAAATTAAGGTAAAACTATTGGTTTTGTTGAATTTGGAAATAATTCTTCTTAGATCTTAAAAGAATCGTAAGGATTATTCATATTGATATTTGTTATGATGCATGTTTTGTTATCAGTTTGATGATTAAAATGTCGGGATATACTATAGAATGATTAGATAAACTATTAGACATAATATTTGAAAGAATAAAAAATACCAAAGATAAAAAAGAAAATGTGGATATATTATCTGAAGAATATGAGAAACTTAATGAAGAATATGATAAAAATGATACAGATTACTCTAATTTGTTAGATCATAGAATGAAACTATATATTAAAATTAGAAATAAAAGAAATATAAAATGAGACTAATTTTGAAACCTATAATAAAAAGAAGGATATAATATGCAAAATCAAAGAATCAATTTATAGACTTTTTAGCTTGATTTATAAAAAGGCCAATAAATTGAACAGGTAATTAGAAAAATCTCCCATTTAATGACACAACAACTGGGAATAATCAAATTCCAGTCCATCGTACATTTTCTCACAGTGGAATCAATAGAATCCTCCTGAGTTGCTTGTTCACTGCCAGGTTATCACTCACTCAAATGTCATTTTTTTTGTTTTTAAATTTCAATTTTATAGATTTCGTCATAATCTAACGGAGTTTCAGAAATCACTGCTCGTTAAAATTTGTCCTTCACCAGTTACTTTTTTTGGGATTTTTTATTTTTAGGTAAAGTTGATTTCTGGTAAAAATGAGCTGAAAAATGATACGCGACATATTTTAAGTTGCTTTCTTTCTGTAAGTGCACCTTCAAATATTGGAAGAAAATATAAAAAAGAAAAAATTCATTCATATCTGTTCTTGAACAGTCATGTAGTTAAGTTTTGATGCATTTTTGTGAAAATAACTTTTCCCAGTTACGGAAATTTTAGGGCTTATTTTTTATATGCTGACTAGAGGAAGCCAAATATTTTCTGTCTTAATTTTTTTTCCTTCCTGCATTATTTATCTAAAAACACTGAATAGACTGGGTACTAATTCATATGCATATTGATATCTTGCAATATTCTGATAGCTGGTTTTGTTTTTAAGATGTCAGGAAAGAAGAGGTTAAATGGTTTTTCTCGTACTCAAATGAGCTATAGAGCACGACATTATGAAAGAGATTATGGTGATGAAGATAAAATTTCAAAAGTAGAGGAAATTAGCAGGGCTTTTGCAATGATGACTTGTATCAATAGCAACTTTCAACTTAAGATGATAGAATCCTCTGCTTTCAGAGAATTCTTTGGACATCTTAGCCCACGTTTCCAACTGGATACGCTTGAGTCTCTTAAAGCTGATTGCTTGAAAATCTACAGGGAAGAGGGAAGGAAAATTAAGGAGATCTTGAGAAATCGGGATGGACAGGTAAGTCTGTCATTTGAGAAATTGAAAAGTCGGGATAGAAATTGCTACATGTGCCTAGCTGCTCATTTCCTTGATGATACTTGGAAAATGAATAGGTGGGTTCTCTTAGTTTGGAGTGCTACTAGTTATAACCTATTAGTTCCTGTTCTGAAGTCTCTTAACTATTGGGAGATTGAGGAAAAGATTTCCAGTATCACGTTCAAAACTGATATTGATATTGATGAAACAGTTGATAAAGTTAAAGATCACATTCAGAAAAAGAAGGAACTCTGGCTTAATGGTCGTTTATTTCATGTTTGTTGTTGGACTGATTTGATTAATTCAATGGCGTGGGAGGCATTTGATCATATATCAGATACCATTGACAAAATTGACGAGTTTGTAAATTCAGCAGTTCTGGATTCATATGATCAACATAATGCAACTAATCAGACGCAACTAAAGACTGACAATGTCCATGATTGTATCAATCGGGGGAGGACATTACCTCACTGGCACCTCAATTACTCGAGGTTAAAGGAGGCTTTGGAGTTGCATTCTCCAGGAGATTTTTCTTTGCAAAATGTACCTCATAATTATCTGCTATCTGCTGATGAGTGGAAGAAAGTTGAAGTTATTTGCAAACTTGTGGATAAGTTAAAGAACATCGAAAGAATTCTTTTTGAAAGCAAGTATATAAATGCGAGCATCTTATTGAGTAACCTTCTGGAACTTCATGTGAGTTTGAGATACGAGGCTTCAACTGCAGATAGTTCCAGTAGTGTGATATTTACAAAAATGCTTCAAAAGTTGGATAACTATGGGAAGGATTCATTTCTAGTGCTAGCTGTTGCAACAGTAATGGACCCTCGATGTAAAATGATGTACATAGAGTACTTGTCATCAAAGTTTTCCATAGGTGATTGCAACTTACAGCTTTCGACTGTTTCAGAGGTGGTGCATGTCCTTTATGATAATTATGCTACCAGTACTCCTCAACAACAGGCGGATTCCACGAGTGATTCAGATTATTACTACTGTGATACAGATACTTCAGAGTCTGAAAAGGAGGATTATCCCAGCAAGAAAAGGAAGGCAGGGATTTCAAAAGGCGAAGTAGAAGGATATGAAAATTTAGAGAATACAAAGAAGGAGATACCAAATCACGACCAGGAAGAAAAAAATAACCCAAAGAAAAGAGAGGAGGTAATTACCAAAAGTCAAGAGGAAGGAAAAAATAACATGAAGAGTCATTTACACGGCTACCTACAATTTGTTCAATCTACCATTTGGCCTCCAAAATCTGACCTGGAACGGTACCTTGGCGAACCTGTCCTACCATGGAGCCAAGAATTGAACTTACTGGATTGGTGGAAAGCGGCAAGTCCAAAATATCCCGTTCTATGTAAGGTGGCTCGTGATGTTTTGTCCATTCTTTTATCTTCCTCTGATGCATTGTTCACTGAAGAAAGAAAGGTGGACAGTCGCATAACATCCCATGGACCAGCTCTGGTGAATGCCTTGATTTGTGTCCGGAGTTGGCTCTCAAATAACTGAATGAATGTCGAACCAATATGATAGTACTCTCTCGATTCAACCTCCTCCTTGTAGAATCCTAGATGTGCTTTAACAGTGTTGACTTGGTGTAGCTTCTTTTTGCAGAAATAGTTTTTTGTAGAGGTGATAATTTTCACTTCCATAACTGCTTTCAAGAGTACCAATCATTTTCTACTGCTCTCATCTCGCACCTTAAATATATTGAGCGTTGAGACTTTAAATATTGTTTTGTTCCAAAATCACATCTAACACTTGAAAATATATCAAGATGGAGAACCCCTTGTTTGGCTTCCAGGGGCTGCAGCTAGGAATTTTTTTCAGTGCGGACACAATTCGATCAATGCCGACTTTAAGGGGGTGTTCTCTTCGTGTTTTAGTTTTTAATTTTGAGTTTTGAATTCATTTTCAGTTCTGTGTTTTGAATGTCTGAAATTGTTGAAAATACATTCTTTTTGTCATTCTGGAAAACTATTTCTCAAAACAGAAAACTTGAAAATGCGTTTATTTTGAAATTTTTAGAATCTTTTATTATAACTTCAGTATCTTGGAAATGAAGCATCTAAGCATATTTCGAGGCATTCAACTAAGTGTATGGGATTGTTAATAGAAAGTTAGGCCTTTTTTTCTCATAATGGTTGTATATGTGGCTTATATAGAGTGGAAACAAATTTACTGGATTAAAATGGTCGATGTTGGAGCGGAGCGACGGTTGGGGGCCCGCAGTACGATATGCTCTCCGCGCAGCCTAAAGAGTTTTGGTACTGTGCATATAAAATAAAAAAATTGCAGTGAAACGGAATCGAACTCGTGACCTTCAGAAAATTTGTGACTATCCGGATTAAGCTATCCCACTATTGACAAAATCTGGCCGTTTTCTGCATTTTGAAGTTTTGACTTGATTTTAACTGAAAACGGCCAAAACAACCATTTTAAACTCGTTTTTGGAAATTTATTTCTGAAAATAGGTAAGTAAACGTGTTTTCAGTATTTTCGAAAACAAAAACTGAAAATGGCTTGAAAACAGCAAAGAGAATATGTCCTAAGTTTTTTACCATAGATTTAATAATGGTAAAATATAAAACAATATTACGACAATGTTAAAAATGACATGTTTATAAATTTCACTTGTTCGTTGTGAGTTTTCATATTTGGATATTGTTGTACATTTATCTCATTTTCAATTCGGATTTCTATCAAGATCACTAAACTCAAAACAAAACCAATAGGCACTAAACAAGCATTTTAAAACTAAAACACACACCGAACAAGCATTTCACAAAATCAATACCACAACTAAAACATACAAAAATGCAATAACCGATTAACATGTAATCATACAAGAACGCAATAACCAATTAATTCAATGGATCAAAAATTCCAAACTAGAATTCTTTCACGCAGACATTAGTGTTACGCCTCGCTACTGAGGCTCTAGTTAGAATACCATGTCGCAGTCCACATGGAAGGGAAAGTCAACGAGGACCCAAGCGATCAAAGATAAGAAAGTCTGATAAAGGTCAAATCTCCTGCCAAAGCAATGCTTAATGGTTGAAGCTGTATGCCGAAACTCCTGTTATGCCAAAGCTTTTCGCATCAAAGACCACCAATGCGAAGCCCTCTCAAATCGAAGCCCTTAGTTCATCCGAAGTCCCTGAAGCTGAAGTTGTTTCTTGCAAGATTTGCATATAATCTTTAGAAATGATTGATGTGACATCTGTAATAAAAATGTCAAGTGTATCAGTCTATTGCATATGACGGCTGACCCGTTGTCAATGTATTTAACGTATGATAGGTTTAGTGATGTGATGCTTCACTCAAGAGGATGAGGCCACATGGTTCTGATCCAACGATCACCACATCGTTCAGAAATATATAAATAGGTGGCCTTTGTACATAAAAAGGGGATGGTTCTTTAAACATTGAAAAAGATAATATACAAGAGCATTCCTAATATACATTCTCGATTGATCTATTATGGCTAGTTTGGATATTAGGTCATTGATATCTTGGTTGGTGATTGTTTGTTAGCGCAGTCACTTTAGTCATTTTTTTGTCTCGCGCCGTGGAGCATCTCCCGCGTTCACGTGTTACCCTTCTCCCATCGGTTCACCGATCAAAACACGCCGAAATTTGCTAAGGTTGTCATAAGTGGGCCAGACATCTGTTGTCGACGTTGGCATTACGTTTTTCGTGGTCAACAATAAGCATAAACAAATTAAGGCCCTGTTTGAGCCACCTTATTGTAGAATGAATGAAAAATATAGCCGTTACTGGGGCCCACACAAGAGATAGAAAATTTGAATTCAAATGTTGATGTGATGGATAACGGTCATATTTTTCATTTTAATGAGAAAATAAGATGGCCCAAACGGGGGTTAACTAAAAAAACTCCAATTCCAAAATTCAAACCTTCTTGGCCTGGGAAGAGTGACTAATCTGTATCTAAGCTTTGGCACCCATCTCCAATGCCTCATAGACTAAATCCATTCAAGAAAAGGGCTAGAGAAAAGCTGATAGATAAAACCCATGAAAAAGACACAACAAAATTAAATCTTGAACCCCCAAAAAAGAAAAAAAAAGATGATACTTTTTTTGAGAATTTTACCAGCCAAATAGCAGCAGATATCAAGATTTGATTATCAAGAAAAAAAAAAGAAAGCAAGTCCTCACGAAAAGTAAGAAAGACAAAGTGAGAGGCGTCAATCACCGTTGGTCGGTAGTGGAAGGTGGCAATAGATAAGAGTGAGGCTGAGGTAGTGTGGCACAACAAAGAGTTGTCGATCGCGGGAAAAAGGCGAACTTGTGCGTGTGAAATCTCTGGTTTGAAGTTTGAACAATTGATTGAGGCCTTGTTTGGGAGGGATTTAGATTTTTCTACAGTAAATCAATTTTCATTCTCAACCACACATTCTTCAATAAAATAATATTTTCCATCACATAAATAATTTTTTCTTCTTTTTCAACCACACATTTCCCATCATATCACTATTTAAAATCAATTCTTCCCCCAAAAATCCCTCTCAAACAAGCTCTGAAAGAGTGGCCTGTGTTGTGTGTCAGTGCGCTTATAAGTTCTCTCTTGGTAATGGGCTTATGGGCTGCTGAATAATTGAAGCGAAAAGCTCAATAATCCAACTCTTAATAAAATAATAAAAAAAGGGGTACTTACAAATACCCTATATTTTGGGGCAGTTTTGAAAAAATATGATAAACTTGGATTAAGTGGTGATTAAGGAAACTTTAACGTATTTTATACGCTCAAACAGAGAAGAATCCACCATGGACGTAAACAAGCCTCCAAATTGGAAAAAAAGAAGGAAAATTAGAAGGAGAAAGAGGAAATCATACACAAATTTGTTCATTATTCGAAGTTATGGAAGAAGATCAAGTTTATTTCCTTATTGAAAGCTTTGGAAAAAATCGAGATTGTCAATTTCATTTTTTTTTTTTATGTTTTTGACTCCTTCAATTAGTTCCCCAATTTTCAGCCATCCATCTCACTTTTATTTGGATTTCACGATTAGATTTAGTTTAAACCTTACAGTGTAAATAATTAACATTTATAAAGTTTTTTTTTGATAATTTTGTTATTGTGTTTGGAAACATATTTGCAAAAATAGCTTTAAATCCGTTGAATCATTTATGCATGTAAGGTTTTTGACAAAATAATAATGTGAATTCTCCCACTTTTTTTTATGGAAAAGTGACATTCTCAACATAAAGTCACACGCCCTCTCCAATCTTGTGACCCTTTAACCATTTGTTATTGTATTTGGAAACATGTTTGAAAATAACATTATTGAACTTCAGAGAGAATTAATTGTGTCAATATATATGAAAAAAATAGTTTTGAATCCGTTAAATCATTGATGCATGTAAGGTATTTGACAAAATGATAATGTGAATTTTGTCACTTTTCTATGAGAAAGTGACGTTTTGTCACTTTTCTATGAAAAAGTGATATTCTGTCACTTTTCTAAAAAAAAAACCACACTATATCCTTGAAGCAATTAACTAGATGCATACCTGTGCATTTTTAAAATTTTGAACATACCAATTCAAACCCCGTTTTATGGTAATACATATGAAATTTTTTTTTGAATCAATTAAATTATTGATGCGGCAATGTGTTTGACAAAAGGAGAATGTGAATTCTGTCACTTTTCTATGAAAAAGTGATATTATGTCACTTTTATATGAGAAAAATCACAGTAATGGACATAATTAATATTTCATTAAAATGTTTAATTAGAGTTTAAGGGTATTAATCAAAACACCTATAAAAAATGGATAATTACATAAAACCAGTTGTTTAGTTTCATCTTTCTGAAAATCAGGTTTTAATTTCACAATTAATATTATTGATGATATTTTAAATTAAATTAATCTATCTACCTACACCTACCCCCCAAATTTCAATCCACTTTCCAAACCCTACTCATCACTTCCGTCACTTTCTCTTTCTTCCATCTCTTCTCTGTCATTTCACCCTACTCCACCATTCTCCTCCCCCTCCCTCTCGTCTCCACCTAATTCATAGCAGCGTCAACGTTGCTGCGGGCGTCGCGTCGCGACACTGCTGTGACGCGACGCCAGCGGCGCAGCAACGTCGACGACGCTGCTGCAACGCTAGCAGCAGTGTCGCGTCCGATTGTTGGTTGCTGCTACGCTGCTCCAATTGTTGGTTGCTGTGACGCTGCTGGAACGCTGGCAGCAGCGTCGCGTCCGAAATGTTGGGTGGGTGTGTGGCTCAGCGGTGGATTTTTGGGATTTTTGATGGGCTGTGATGGTGTAGCAGCCGTCTCTCTCTCTCTCTCTCTTGCTGTATTTTACATTCCTTCCATTGTTGCGATCTGGTGGCAGGTTGGGGTTTTTTTGTTGGGTGGTGGTTGTGGTGCAGAGATATGTGTTTTCGACGGCGATGGGGTGGGCGGTGGATCTGGTGGCAGCCGTCGCGAATCGCCCCTCCAATAGTGGGGCGCCACTTGGCATTTTGTAAT